TGAACATTATGCAGAAAATATGTATACTTGTATACCACAATTGATTTAACAATTACTTTAGTGAGGGACATTTATATTGTCTTTTATGTATGTTTTTTTTTCATCCTTACAAAAAATTCAGGAATAAACATACTTGAACATATCTTGGCATGGTTTTTATGAGTATTTTCATAGTCAAATTCCTTGAGTTAAAATTCTTGGTCAAGTGACATATGCATTTAAAAATTTCCCAAGTATTACCAACTTGCCCTCCAAAAGGCTATGTCATTTTACACTCCCATCAGTGAGCAATTTTTCCCTTTCCTGAAATTGGATTGGAGCAGTTTGAAAAATACCTTTTAAAATTTACTTCTGTTCCTACAAGTCCCAACCCAGAGCCTCTCACTTCTCATGTGACTCAAGGGGCTGGTTGGATTGGTGGGAGCCAAATAAGAAATACAAGTGAAGATGCCATGTAGGGTGGTATAAAGAGCAGAGTGGGAGACTTGGTTTCTAGGACCATCTCTCCGAGGTATTGAACAGGCTAATTTAAATCACTGAGTATCCATTTCCTAGAGTGTAAAATGCAGATCATAATAGTACACTGTTGTCCTTGTTGTGAGGATCATACAGAGAGATACAAAAGTGGTTGGCAACTTGAGAAGCAAGTACACATGCCAAGTGGTTATGCTAGCATTGTGATTATATCCTTAAATTAATGAGCTTGAGGAAGGGAATGAAGGACAGTGAGAGTTTAGTGGGAAATCTTTAAGACATTTCTAAGCTTCACTGTAAATTTCCATACAGTTGTTTTATATTCTTGGAGAACAAACCACATAGGCAATGAAAACTGCTTTATGTATCAAGAATAAAATAGGAGGGCAAGAGAGACTAAGAAGAAAATAAACAAATGTGACTACATCAAAATAAAAAGCTTCTACACAGTAAGAGAAACCATCAGCAAAACAAGAAAGCCAATTGCATGGGAGAACATATTTGCTAATGTTATCTATGATAAGGGTTTAATCTCCATAATTCACAGGGAATTCATACAACTTAACAAAAGTAAGATAAACAATTCAAATAAAAAAAATAGGCAAAGGACCTAAATAGACACTTTTTGAAAAAGGAAATTCAGAAAGCCAAGAGACACATAAAAACATGCTCAAAGTCACTAATCATCTGAGAGATGCAAATCAAAACAACAATGAGGTACCACCTCACACCTGTCAGAATGGCTATCATCAACAAATCAACAAATGACAAGTGCAGGAGAGGATGCAGAGAAAAAGTAACCTTCCTTCACTGCTGGTGGGAATGCGGACTGGCCCAGCCATTGTGCAAAAACAGTATGGCGTTTATTTAAAATTTTAAAGATGGAACTGCCATTTGACCCAGTAATACCACTTCTCAAATATATCCCAAGAAAACAGAAACACCAATCAGACAGAATATATGCACCCCTATGTTCATATCAGCATAATTTACAATAGCTAAGATTTGAAAACAGCCTAAATACCCATCCGCAAATGAGTGGATTAGAAAACACAATGGAATACTATGCTGCTATAAAAAAGAAGGAATTCTTACTATTTGCAGCACCATTGATGGAATTGGAGAGCATTATGCTAAGTGAAATAAGCCAGTCAATGAAAGAAAAATACCATATGATCTCACTCATTTATGGATAATAAAGAACATTATAACTTGGTGAACAAAAAGATAGATACAGAGGCAGAGAAGCATCGAACAGACTGTCAAATTACAGAGGGAAAACTGGGAATTGTTGAGAGGGGGGAGATTAACCGAAGGACTTGTATGCGTATATATAAGCATAACCAATGGACGCAAGACACTGGGTGGGGAGGAGTGAGGGCATGTGCTGGTGGTAGGGGAGGCCAGGGAAAGGTCAATGGGGAAAAAATGTACAACTATGTACTTTAAACAACAATAATAACAAAAGAATAAAATAGGTTATTTCCCTTTCACAGGAAAACTAAAGTATTTTGTGCTGGGCCTGACTCCTAAGTTCAGTCCTCTTTCTATGACACCACTATGCTTTAATTTATCAGGCACCTAATAGGATTGTGGCCCTGTGAAACTTTCTATGATCACCAGGGAGAGAAGAAATATACACATGAAATGTTCAAATAACTCTGTGAGGTGACCACTTAAATAGCTCTGAGTTATAGCAGAGGTATAAAGGAGGAATAGCGTGAAATCAAATACCTTTTAATTACTATTTAAGTAAATAGCCTAGAAGACCCAAGTTAAATCATTAACCAGGAAAATCCAATCATATCTTTCTATTTCTTAAAAAAGCATTCTTATTGTTCAAAAAATATTTTGAATAAGTGTATTTTACAAATCAGAAATGTAAAATTTAATTGAATGACATTCATTTTCAGATCAGCACCCTTTAGATTAAATTTACCATGATGTAAAAACAAAAATTAATGTGATAAGTTACTTTTTTTTTAACCTCAAAGTTAATTTAAAAGATATCTGTAAAATAATTAGAAGCAGGACCATCCTGATTTCAACCTATTAATTAGGGATTTGAAAAGGAGGGTGATGGGTTTTTTTGCATTAGGAAACTAGTAACCACCTTGTCAAAAAAAGCTATCTAAAAGGCCTGATTAAAAGCAACAACACCACCAATCTGGTATACTTTGGGTTTTTCTCTCCTAAAGCAAATTTATATTTTAACCAAACCAGTAAAGCCAGGTCTCATATTAGAAAAAAGCATGTTCATTGGACTCAAATCTATATACAAATCTCAGTTCTGCTACTCTCTGCAAAGTTCATGTAATACTCAATTATGCACAAGTATATTTTAATTAAGGACAATTCAAAGTAAAATGCAAAGTTATCATTTTAAGTCTAGAGGATATAGTTCACTTATTCTTTGTCTCCCTCTTTCCTGCTTTACAAGGGTCACTGTTGTTCTCTTTTCAATTTCCAGTATCATTATATGTTAAAATAAATTAGTCCAAAGAGGCATCCCATTCTCTGACTTTCCCAGATGTAGCCTCTGGTAAGTCTAGAGTCCTGTTGCATGACTTTTTCTATCAGTGGCAGATATATTAGTTTACTCTCAGTCTTGACACTTTTGGCATTATGGAGAAATGATTGCTGGATGTTATGAGGAGTTGATAAAATTGGAGAAAAGTGCACTGGGAGTGTCATGACCCATTTTTTAAATTTAAGTATATGACGATATAGTTATCTTTACAAAAAATAAGTTTGAAAGTGTAGAGGAAAAAATAACCATTGCTTGCCAAAATTGGTTTGCCTCAGTGGATAGAGGTCAGCCTGAGGACTGAAAGGTCCCAGGTTCGATTCTGGTCAAGGGCATGTATCTTGGTTGTGGGCACATCCCCAGTAGAGGGTGTGCAGGAGGCAGCTGATTGATGTTTCTCTCTCATTGATGTTTCTAACTCTCTATCCCTCTCCCTTCCTCTCTGTAAAAAATCAAATTTAAAAATTTTGAAAAAACACACACAAACCTATTACTTTAACCCAACTGTTATAATTATGTGTCCTTTTCTGGTCTTTATTTACAGGCATATTTTATATCATTATAATTCAAATGAGCTTATTATTTTGAATTAGTTGTTGTTTTTGTTAATCCTCATTCTAGAATATTTTCCCCATTGATTTTTATTTTTAGAGAGAGTGAAAGGAAAGAGGAGGGACAGAGAGATAAACATGAATGTGAGAGAGACCCATTGGTTAGTTGCCTCCTGTACACCTCTAGACTGGGGCCAAAAATGAAACCTGCGACGGAGGTACTGTCTTTGATAAGAATAGAATCCAAGACCCTTCAAGCAGTGGGCTGATGCTCTAACCACTGAGCATAAACCAGTTAGGGCTCGTCATTTTTTTTTTTAATATACTTTATTGATTTTTTACAGAGAGGAAGAGAGAGGGATAGAGAGTTAGAAACATTGATGAGAGAGAAACATCAATCAACTGCCTCTTGCACACCCAACACTGGGGATGTGCCCGCAACCAATGTACATGTCCCTGACCGGAATCGAACCCGGGACCCATCAGCTCACAGGCCGACGCTCTATCTACTGAGCCAAACCGGTCCCGGCTTGTTGTCATTTTTTAATGAAAATTTAAAGTCTCCTTGCAGAGATTTAGCATGATTTACATGAACTAACCAAATCCTGAGGTGGGAGTCTGGATTTGGGAATAGCAAAAAATAATTTTGGAATTAGATTTTAGGTGTTGGACACCAGCAAAAAATTAAATTATTTTTTAAAGACAAGAGAGGCCATAGAAGATTTTAGGGAGAGCCATGTTTTATTGAAATAAAATATATCTATATCTATTTATATAAAGTAGATTAGTTATTCATTTTGTGGTATAAACATATAAGTTTTTTCAAAAATATAAAACAAGGTAATTTATGCAGCAAGGTAATTTCCCTATGTAGACTGTCAACTCTTTGAATCCCAGGGCCCTATCTGTCTCTCTGAGTTTACTGTGTATTCTAGAGATTACATCAATATTACCTGCTTGCCTGACAAGTGGTGTCCCAAATACAAGCCATTTTCCTTTCAAGAGTGCCCGTGTAGCTGGAAAGATTTCCTCCCCTAAAACTTATCTGAAATTCAAGTCTTCCTGAAGGGTTATTCAAGGAAGAGAAATACCCCCTCTTCTTTCTACTCTGAGCCTCTTTCTTGATGGCCAGACAACCCTGACAGTGTAGAAGTTTCCATCTCATTTTCCTTTCCTTCTCCCAGTTCCCTCCCCTTTATTTATTTATTTATTTATTTTTTTTCCTTCCAAGGCGCTTCCTGCCTGGAAACAAAAGATTGGTCCCCAGTAGCCCAGTCAGGGTGATTTTAGTTTGATGCTCGTCCTCTGATTGGCCTATGTACTGCGCAGAGCCCAGGTGATGTCATAGCAGAGAAGGGCTGGGGAGCGGTTGCGGAGCTGGGAATCTACCTCTGGCTGGCAACTGTCAGAGGCGGGGCTTCTGAGGTCTTGTGTAGGGTGCTGCAGCTTTCCCTTGCCTAGAGCAAGGGTGCGGGTCCGGGAGGGGGGTCGGGGGTGGGGGGCGGGGAATTGGCTGGGCATGAAGCAGCGGCTATAGCCACGGGTTGTGGCTCGGCAGCCGCGCTATTCCGCTATCGCCAGCGCCAGCGCTCTGAGATAGAGGAAAGGTCTTGACAGGTTGGCTGGACCAGTGGCAGGTAAATCCACTTATGGCACTTGGCTCACTCAGGGGAGGGGGCGGCGGCTGGGCATTAATTTTAGGCGGCTGGGAAGATTTTCTTCCTTCCTTCTTTGATCCCCCTCTGGCTCTTAAGGCGTTCCAGCCTTGAATCCCTGATGTGGCTCCTAAGGAGTCCTGAGACCTAGGATGCTATTTGCAGGATCTCTGGTCCGGAAAGCAGACAAGTGGGTGTGTCGGGGCCTTTCCCCAGGGCTTGGGCTCCTTCGCTGGTTCAAGCCTTATACAACCATAATGGCTGGAGGCAAAATCCATCCCCAAAGCTATGTCAGCCTGTAAATCCTATGACTTCTATGAGCTGGCTCCACCAGCCACTGTTGCTGGGATGGAAGTTCCCACCCCTACCTCCAGGGGGCGGGTGTGTGTCTGTGGCCTAGCAAGTCCCTTAGGGGAAAAGCCAGACCTGAACAAACAAACAAACAAACAAAAATGACTATCCCCTTTTCATTATTTTTTTCTTATTCTCTTGCCCCCCCCCCTTCTTTTTTGGGGGCGAGGGGAAGGTAATGGCAGGAGGACTCTCTTCTCCTGTGGGGTTTCGAATTATGGAATAATGTCCCTAAAAAGCCTTGGGTTCCTCAGTTGGCCTTTGTCTTTGTCTGGGGAGAAGAGTCATTAGATCCAGTGGCTCTCCCTTCCCTGTCCTTCTCAGCTTGCAGGGGCATTGTCCTTAATTTTTGAACTGGATTTGGCAAGATTACTGCTGTACTTTTGGGCAGATTGAATATTTTACAATCTTGACCTCAGCAGGTTTTCCTTCCTGAGTTGGTGGTAGGGGTGGGGTATATCAGGAAGCTGTGCCAGGAGGGAGGGAGCCAGAGGCTCCACTAGGGTTTTTGTTTTGTTTTGTTTTTGGCCCCACCTTCCAGAATCCAGTACCAGACTCTGGACTTGAGGGTTCTGGACTATGGTCTGTAGAAGTGAAGGAGAGAAGGGTGAGTGGCTTGGCTTTGGGAAGCACGAAAGGGGAGGTTATAGCACTATTTTTAAAAAATGGCTTTCAGCAGGGAAGCCTTTAGCCATTTTAGTCTTGCCCCCCTCATGGTTTTGCAGACTCAAATCCAGGTCAACTGTATGGCTGTCTGAAGTGCTGCAACAGAAGGAAATCCATTCCTATTGGCGATAACACTGTGGCCCTGTTCTGAGACGACTGATGTATAAAGGTCAGTGCTGTTTTCACTGGACTATTTGCAAAATTACAATTGGGTAGGTCTGTGATTTGGTACTTAAGTCCCCTAATCAGAGGCATCTTTGGGCAAAGGGACTTAATATGGTAATGAATGATTAATAGGCAAGTGCTTGGAGAGACAGCTGTGTAAGCCTCTGGTTCTGAATACAAATGTTGTAACCCATTCCCCTATGAAAGAGGCAAAGTGAAAAGATGTATTCTGGGTAAAAGATGACAGCTGATAATTTAGAGGACAGAGGGACCTTGATATGTCAAAGACCAGACACTTCAAGCTGGCAAGTGGGCCTTGTAGGATAAACCTAACAGAAAAAGGAGATTCAGTTGGGATACAGGTGCAGGAAATTGGCCACAACACCCTAGGATGTTCTAACTAGCTGACTAATCCCACAGGTTACAGACTTTTTGGTTGGAGATAGAAATGGTATACAGAGCAAACAAGCTTGCTGAGGTCTTTGAAAGTAGAGCAGTGGACATGACAGGTTAGGGAAAATAAGAATAATTGTGAGGATGGCGAAGTGCTGTACCCATTAGAGACTCTGCTATTAGGAGGTCGGAGACTAAGCTACTATGAGGTCAAAGTGAGTAGCAGTGTGAAGCTGAGTTGGTTGAAGCTTCATTCAGATATGCCAAGGTTGCAGGTTTGATCCTCGGTCAGGGCACATACAAGGGTCAATCAGTGAATGCATAAATAAGCAGAATAACAAATCTATGCCTCTCTCTCTCCCTCTCTCTCTCTCTCTCTCTCTCTCTCTCTCTCTCTCTCTCTCTCTCCCAAATAAAAAATAAATAAAAAATAAAGATCTAGAATCCAGAGTAGGTAGGTAAAAACAAAGTGATAGAGAGAAGAAAACATCATTGTCTTACCAGGACCTCAAAAACTCTGACTCACCTGGTAGGATGGGGAATTTTGTGGTTGAGGTTCCTGTAGCTCAGCCCAGACTTAAAGGGAAGATATCTCAATATTTAGGGAATCAATAGCATTCCCACCCATGTAACCCACCTTTGGGATCAAGTTACTTCTGATCAAGGGAAGAACATCCACAGGTGCAGCTCAACAACCAGCTTTTACCTCCTGGGTAGGGAGAGGGAATAGAGGGGCAGGGACCCAAAGGGGACTGGAGAAGCTTTGAATCTGTTTGAGAGAGGTAGGTTGATTGCTTTACATGGGAGTATCAGGCCTTTGTTCCAGGTATAGGGGTATCTGCCTGTACTGAAAACAAAATTAAAAAAATAAATAAAATAAAAGCCCTTATTTCGAGGCAGGGGCCCATAGGACCCAGTGTAGGCAGAAGGATGGTGAAAACAACTATACTAGAAGGTAAGTGCAGCTTTCGAGGCATCTGGGGTTCAGCTAATGCTTCAGCTGCGCTGTTTTTCTCCAACCTCTCCATTTGCCAGGAATTAGGTGGTTTCCTCTGCAGGGCCTGGGGTGGACTCCCCTGCCAACTAGGCACTAGGAGGCTTTTCCAGCAGGGAGCAGGAAAAGGCATGCAGGGCCTGAGTTCTCCATTTCAGGAGTGAAGCCCTAGCCTGGGAACCAGTAACAACTAAACCAGACATGTAGTATCTGATATAGAGGTAACAATCAAACAAACCCCAAGGTCTAGCAGTCTGTTTCCATTTCCCCACAAGAAATGTGTCACTTCTTATCTTGTTCTGTGACTTTGGAAGGTATGTTCATTTACTTATGAGGTGATTACTAGTATTACTAATACATACAGCCTAACTGTGAGTTTAATTGGGGATCTTATATGGTGGGGATACAGAGATTCACCAGTGACTCTGAGTCTCAAAAGAGAAGGCCTTGGGGTAAGGGTGAATGAAAGACCTGGCTTGGGTATGGATCTTTTCCCTTTTATCTTTCTCCCTCATCTCTGAGCCAGACAGAACTTTTGGGAATTTTGCAACCCTCAAGGGTCCTACCCCTAACAATCAGCACAGTCACGCCCTCTAGTGACCTCAATGGAGACACCTTTGTCAGAACTCCTCATACATTCATTCCATAGCCCAGCTCTGGTACTAGTGCTAATCCTTGTGCAGCTTTTAGCCTCTGTGGAGAAGGGCTCCAGTTCTTTCAATTGGCCTGAAGAAGAAACTCAGGTGCAGCTGTGGCTTCTTGTAGGCCTATCTCATATATGGATGGGGCTGGGAATTGAGAGAAGGAGCCATCCCCTCCACCTCCAATGCCCAGTTTCCTTCTTAGAGGCTGAAAAAGGCTCCAGAATTATTTCAGAAGCTGAAGGAATCAGCAGCTGTGAGATGACTTTAGAATGTTTCCCACCCTAGTGGAGCTTGTTGAGAAGGAAAATGGAAATGGATGTGGCCACTTGGAGTTGAGGAATGCCCAGCAGTGCCAGGTCTTCAGGAAGTTCAGGTATCATCAGAACCCACCTGAATTCCCTATAATCTCTCAGTTTTCCATGGTATACTGGACTATACCACCTCCATTAAATATGCAAATATTTTACATCTGTCATACTTGATTTAGTCCTCCCAATGCTTATCCAAGGTAACGAGGGTAGGTCTGGTGTTTGGGGGGTTGGATGAGGGAGTAGTAATAGGTGGGGAAAGAGATTTCCGTTCCCCCACAATGCTTCTCTTGGCAGGTTTTCCCCAAGAAAGAGCAGCTGAGTCCTTGCATCTTGTGACAGCTGGTATACCCAGCCCTGAGTTCCTCGGAGTTGAAGGCACCCTGGTCCCTTCTCATGGGCAGCATCCACCCATGCTAAGGTCCAGCAGCGGTGGTGGTGTGAGGTGAGTAATGGATTCCAGGGCAGGGAGTTAGGGATCTCTAAGCCAAGGTAAATGCCACCTTTTCACCAGAGCTCCCACTTAGGAAGCTTTCACTGGAGACCCCAATTAGGCCTCATCAGCCAGGCCCCATGGCATGGCCCCTTCTTTTTGTACAGCTTCCCTTGGTTTCTTGGTTCCCCCATCTTTAATATGAGAATGGCACTCTTGACCTACATACTAGCGAGAGTAGTAGAAATAAAACAGTTACTAGCAAATCCTTCATTAATGTCAGGCTCTATCTAAGAGCTTTAGTGTAACACAGACCTGCTTCCCATCAAGCTTTCATTTATTTTCCCCCTGCTTTCCTGATGCTGAAGTTGCAATGCAGCTACATGCCACAAATTTACCAATTGGTACCTATAACTTTGACTACCTCACTACCTCAAAACTTTAATTTCACCTGCTTATTTAAAGTGTAACTTCCAACCCAATCATCCTAACTTCTTAACTTAAACCTTCCAGAACCTTCTTTCTTCCTTCCCATCCAAACAAGGAATATTTCCTTCTTCTGCTCTCCAACAACGCTTGAGAGAAGGTAGAGCAGTTAGTATATACATTTAATAATTCATTTAATAACTCATTCTGGCATGTAGTATAGTTCATTCTTCTCTACTGTCTAAAATAATTCTTGCATGGCTTCTGCAGTATTCATCTTGGCAGGTAAACTATGCTTTAAGCTCTTCAAGGGTAGAGACTAGATCTCACAGGTTTCTAGTCTCTCACAAGTGCCTGACAGCTCCCCAGCAGCTTTTTAATTTGGGCTTCTCTCTCTTCCTCTCTACTTCTTTTGGGTTTATTGGCCTGACTCTCTGATGATCTCCCTGTCTCTTTACCGCTCAAGTATCTGTTATAGCTTCATCTGTTATGGCTTCTCCATCTGGTCTTCTTTTGCTATGTGCTGCAGTCCAGGCACCTGTTTGTATCTTACTGTCTCTTTGCTTTTCTATCTGTTCTTCTGTCTGTCTTTTGTCAGTTACTTACGCATCTCTCATATTGCCCAAGTCAAAAACAAACGACCAAAATAAAAATAAAAACCCAAGAGAAAAACAAACTAAACAAAAAACAAAGAATATGCAATCCAATTCCCTTTCAAACTGAGCCTGTCCTGAGCCTAAAGAACAAAGGAAAACTGTGGCTCAGCGACAGGTGTTTATGTGATGCCTTCTCATGAAGGGGAAGCTCCAGAGTTTCAGCTGTGAAATGAAAGGTATGAAATTACAGCCTTGGTGATATTGATGCATTAAACTTTCTAGAGATGCTCTGGTAGAGGATCCTCTGCAGATCTTGAACAACAGAAGGTAACTAGAACTGGCTAAAATAAGAAGGGTATTTTATGACAGCTGCAATAATAATGCATTTATTGAGTAGCTACAGTTTCTAGCACTATACTACACATTTTACTTTCATGAGTCAATTTGATTCTACAGTAACTCTACAAAGTAGTATGTTTTTCTAATAGTTACTATATTTCTTTCTTATTATAAAAGTGCTGTTATCTCAAAGTACGTATTATTATCGTCACTGTTTTACCCATGAGGAGACAGAAGTTGAGATGTGCTATGTAACTTTCTGTAACTGAACACATATGACTTTGGGAGGAGATTCTTCCTAGAGAATTCCCCAGAATCCCAAATTATGTTGTTACCTTTCAGTGCTCATACACACTCTCACAAGCACACTTGCTTACTTGTAAATTCACATTTGATTCTTTGACTCACACTTTTCACACTGAACACATTCATAATGATGATCACTGTTATTCCTTCACCTTCACACACAATCATATTTATAAACCCACTATGTACAGGCAAATTCTTACTGCTTCATTTATATTTATAGATTCATATTTTCATGCTGATACACATTCACACTTGCCATATATACTATCTCATGTTCTCACTCACTCATACCTTTATGTTTTCTTAAATTCTGATATACAGTCATCCTTAAGTCTAAAATTCCTACACAATTATACATATTCTATGCACAAATACATACTGACTTTCTCTGCTTATTTCTCATAGATATACATATGTTCAATTTCTATCACTCCAACACATTTGCACTATCACTATTTCCTCCTCATATAAACAATTTATAACTCATCACAGTGATACATACATGTGCGTGCATACCCATATGTTCACATTTATACTTGCTGACACCTATAAAAACAACCCCACCCATTAAACCTTTATACTTTATTACATACTCTTATATACTCAGCACTGACACAATATTCCTATCCTGTCACATTTACTCATAATCACACTTACACAAAGAAACTTGTTTTATTACATATTATTTGGTTACATATTCACATTCCTATTCTCACTGAGGCATAATTGCACTCTTCACCAAACTCAGCATATATAATCACAAACACACTCACTTTCATAAGTTCAGCCATTTTCACGGAGACACATACCCCTACCCTCACACTCATACACAATTACATACACACAATTGCAGTCACCTTAATTCACAATCATACATACATATGGTCACTCACATTCAGTACCCACAAAAATTAACATTCACACACAGTTACACTGCACACACAGGCTTACATACTTACATTTTCACATATTCTCACATTCAGAACTGCACACTTAAAATCATACCCTTCCACACATCCTCGTGTCGGCACAGTCATACTTCCTGACACTCATGTCCATTCACATGTACACTCTCTCATACACCAATTCACATTTGTATATCACACATATTTACACTGGCACAATCACACTTTCCACACACTTACATTCTTATACATTCCTGGTCTCACACTGACACACCCTTACTCACCTTGGTATGTACATTCTCACCATTACACATGAGTGACATGAATAGTCAATGACTCCATTTACCTTGGCATACACTAGAGCAACCCACGCAATTCAGTGTCACAATAAACTTACAAGAATAAATATAAACACTCACACAGATGTAGTCCACATAGACTGATCCTTACTCAGACTCACAGTCATCCTGTCATATCCTCCCTTACACTGATACACTTGCTCACACTGACTCACACAGTCACTGATGCATAAATCACTGATTCTCATTTGACACACTCTCCTGAACTTCCACTGACTCTTACCGGGACTCTCAGATGGACACATCAACTCTGATACATACTCTCACTCCATCACTGAGATGATCCCACTGACCCACTTTTATTCAAAAATGCTTATAGTGACCTACACTCTCATTCACACACCCATATATATTTTGCCAAACTCTTATACATGCCCCATACTGATATTGCCACATTCACATGCTTTTCACTGACACACACTCTGTAATACACCCAATTACAGGTAATCCTACCTAATAAAAGAGTAATATGCAAATTAACCATCACTCTGCTACACCCACCAGCCATGCCCACCAGCCAATCAGAGTGGGTATACAAATTAACCCAAACCAAAATGGCTGCAGCCACAGAGAGCAGTTGAGAGGCTTGGGTTTCCCAGGAAATAGAGGAAGCCAAACTTTCCACACATCCTGGCCAGCCCAGGCCTCCACTCAAGGATACAAAGTTTCAATTATAGAAGATAAATCCTAAGAAAAATGGTGGCAGCCACAGAGCTGGAGAGGATAGGCTAGGGTTGCCCCCAGCAATGGAGAAAGCCAAGCTTTCAACCTGCCCTGGCCAGCCTAGGCCTCCACTCAAGGATACAAAGTTTCAATTATAGAAGGTAAACAAATCCAAACAGATATGGCAGCAGCCATGGAGCAAGCAGGAGGCTTGGCTTTGCTCCAGGCTGCAAAGTTTCAATTGTAGAAGGTAAATAAATTCCAGATACCAGGGCCTCTGCTTGGGTCACCAGGGGGTGTGGCCCACCTGCAATCCACCACAGGCCCCTAGCCCAGGCCACCCCACACCCCAAGGGAACCCCCACTCTGATCTGGGACACTCTTCAGGGTAAACCAGCTGGCCCCCACCCATGCACCAGGCCTCTAGCCTATCTAATAAAAGAATAATATGCAGATTGACCATCACTCCAACACACAAGATCAAGATAGCTGCCCCCATGTGGTCAAAGATCCTGCCCCCATGTGGACACAAGATGGCCACCACAAGATGGCCAGCAGGGGAGAGCAGTTGGGAGGCATTGGGCCTGCAAGGGAGAGCAGTTGAGAGGGACCAGTTCTGCAAGGGAGGGCAGTTGGAGGTAATCAACGCTGCAGTGGAGGGTAGTTATGGGTGACCAGGCCAGCAGAAGAGGGAAGTTGGGGGCAAACAGGCTGGCAGAGGAACAATTAGACATCAATCAGGCTGGCATAGGAGTGGTTAGGGGGTGATCAGGCTGGTAGGCAGAAGTGGTTAGGGGCAATCAGGAAGGCAGGAAGGCCAGCAGTTGGGAGCCAGCAGTCCTGGATTGTGAGAGGGATGTCCGACTGCCCTTTTAGACCAGATCCCAGCCTTTGACCACATGGGGGCAGCTATCTTGACCACATATGGGATCGGGTCTAAACAGGCAATTGAACAACCCTCTTAGGAGGGGTCCCAGATTGGAGAGAGTGCAAGCTGGGTTGAGGGACACCCCCCAACCTGTGCATGAATTTTGTGCATCAGGCCTCTAGTACTTTATAATCACAGTTGTCACTCTTTTTTCCTACTTGCACTATTATTATCCTTCTCCCTGCTAAAAGGCTTCCCAATAACCTGTGGCCAATGACAAAGAATGGGAACTAGATCTTTCCTGAGCAGAAAGGAGTGAAATTTATGTATAGGTTTTAAAAGAGAAAGCAGAAACACACATATCAAGTTTTATATCATTTTGCAAGTTTCCTCTTACAGAAATCATCTCTAATAGAACCTTACTCAGTACTATCCAAAAGAGGTTGGGATTTAGATGGTTTTTTTTTTTTTTTTTTTTTTTTTGTTGTTTTTTTTAAGGAGTTTATAACTAAACTTGCTACCTCATCTCTCTTCCAAGGGGAGGGAA